AATTAACATAGAATTTATTGAATACAATCTCTAAATGAGTTTACTTGATAACTAACAACTTCATTATTATTTATTACCATCACCGGTTTAACCTCTCCTGGACAAATTTATTTAATTGCCGTATTTTTATACGTAAATTACAAACAGTTTCTCCTTTTTTATCAATAACCATATTGGATGGAACTCGATTCAATGTTCATCTAGAGTATAATATAATAATAACAATAAAATTACAAATAATTGCAATTTACTAACTTGGTAACACGAATATAGTAAATAAAAAACATGTGCAGTTGATTTTTGGTCAAATCAGAGTTCATTTTTGTTGTATTGACTTTCTTAAATACCAATTAAACAAAATTTTCTTTCGGAAAAAGTGTTACTCTTGTAGTTTTGACCAATATTTCTAGAAAATACAATTGTAAAACAATTTAAAATGCCTAATGATATTGCTAACGCAGTAAATTTGATAGTATTTGTATTTGTTTTACGTTTTTGTCCCAATTATTAAGAAAACTGATTGGAAAATAAAAACACGATTTCATACTCGCCAATAAGATCCAAAATTCAACAGTTAAAAATATGTAATAATTTTTAAATACCTACGCAATTATTCGGGTAATAATTTTTTAAAAATAGAGCTGACGGGTATACCTAATAAAACGAAAGTGAGAAGTTTGTTAGGTATAAGAGTGTAGGATACACAGAGCTATTTAATCGCTGTATACCCAACGATAAATCATTGAAAATGAAAAAACCACCATTGAAACTGTTGGTCGGAGCAAGATTTCTAGCAGAATAATCCTAAGACTATCGTAAGAATTAAAATGCAAAACATAATAAATTATAACTTTAAAAGTTAAAATATTTTATTAACTTACGTAGGTATATATATTATTCAAAACAGAGTGGTCAACATAACGTAAGGTACTCATTATCTCGGTAGTTATTAACTATTTTCAAAATTTGTTTTTTTTTTTAAATCATTTAAGAAATAATTAGCGCTAAAATGTTATATATAGGTTTTTTTTTTGTCGCCCTTTTTTTAAGGAGTGTGAAACAACTGTCTATATTTGATTATTAAACGGCAACCTATGCGCGAAATTCCATAAATAGACGGAGTATTAGGTTAAATACATTTTGGTAGGTATTAAAATGTCTGATTTCCGTTAATTCGTTGACGAGATATCCCATTTTTAAGTTCGGGTAGAGCAACAGGACACTATTAAATCGTCGCACGTCGGGCCGCTACATAAACGATGCACTATTATACTACCTCCGCCGATATTTTAAAGTGGAATACCTCATCAAAGAATTGACGGAAAATTCTACATCAAAACTGATTTCAATTAATACTCCACTTATGTATGGCATTTTTAATGTAGGTTGCTATTTAAAAATCGAAAGTGAATAGTGGTTTCACGGCCTAAATAAAAAGACTAGGTAATGTAACATTTCAGAGCTATACTTGTTTCTTAAAATGTTTTATAAAACAAATTACGAAAAAAGTTAATACTTTTCAAGATAATGAGTGTTTCGCGTTATTTTGATCACTCTGTATACGTATTAATTGTACAGTTAGGTTCTTAGGTAGATTAGGAAGGCACGTACGTCCTAAAATTGTGTATACTCGGTATAACGTTAATATTAGATGGGTACATCGATGTTTTATTGGTATAAAAATATATTATACTTTGTGTTTACATTTCTTTACTTTATTTCTATGATTATGGAGTATATCCTTGATTTTCACAGCCAAGAATAATGTTATGGTTTCTTTTCTAAAAATAGTTTTACTGGGTCAGTGGGTGTAGGTTATATATTGGATACTAATCTGTGTATGTTCACCTGTCTTCATCTTCCGTATACATACATCATATTACATTTATATATATATATCTATGTACTTATGTTGTACAATTTTAATTTGAATAAGGACATTGAAAACTTTTTGGCGAGCAATCAATAACATTTTGACTTTGTTTTAAAAAACATAAACAGTTAAATCATACATACAATTTTTAACATGCAATATTCATTAATTAGATACCTACTTAATTATTTTATATTATGGATTAATTATACTTATAGGTATATGGTATACTACCAACTTGGTTATTAATTCGTATTGTTAATAATTTATTTTCTAAAATAAAAATATTTACTACTGGGACGAGACTGCAGTAGCAAGCGCCAGAATAATAGTCGAGAATACAGAATCACTTGAATCTATATAAGTTATAACTGTACCACACTGTGTATAAAATACATAAACAATAATAAATGCTAGTAAACGTGTAATATGGCAAATATCAGTTATCAACAGATAAAAAAAAATAATGGTAAGTAATAAAAAAAAAAACGGGAACATACTTCGCACCGTAGGTAAACTACTGTTGAAGGTGGGAAATTTTTAAATGTATAGCAGATATAGGGTAATTTAGTTTATATAGATAGGTACTAAAAGCAACGATGAATCAATGCAATTAAAAAACGATTTTGACTTACTTAGTGGGGCTCAGCAGTGGCACCGAAATTACAAAATTTAGATAGGGCTAACTGCCATAATGCGGGCATAATAACTGGGCATAATGCGAGACATCTACCACCCGGCGACAATAAAGGAAACAAAAATATCAAATTTGTTATACGTTTATTGTCGTCATAGATTAAATACACTTAGTATTATTTAGATTTTAGTTGTCATTGCAGACTGCAATAAAATAATACAATTAAATAATTTGTTAGTAATAGTGTTCGGAACTTTTTAATTCACAAAAAAAGCGCTTAAAAATTTCAAAAAGCACTTGAAAAATATTTAATAAGCAAAAATGGTAGATGGGTTTAAAAGCGCCACTCTTTTGGTTTAAAATACAATTATCTAACACAACATAAATATATTATAATCAATACAACATAATTTTGATCGTAAAATTGTATGGTAGGTATAAATTTAAAAAAAAATAACTTTTTACTAATCTGCCGTTTTTAAACGCATTTTTTTTGCGTTTTAAGTGCAATAAGTACTGTACCCTGATTTGTAATAATTTAGTGTAGACGAGTAAATGTCTACATAAGTTACCGAAAACTAAAATGTTGTTTATTGTTATTTTTAGAAATATTATCGACCGGTGACACCGATATAAGACGCAACATCACATTGATTTCCGGGGCTTTAGTATTTTTTATCTACGGGGCTCCTCAAAACAAAATGTTCCAGGTGCCTTTGGTGTGTCAAAGCCGATACTACTACCGCCAAAATAGTATGAAGGAGGATGTCTGCCTTACCTGAATAGGGTTAGGCGACACTAGAGTACTAGAGTAGTAAACTAGTAAGGTAAAGTTGTACTTTTTCTTATATAGTTATGGTAACTCAAACAACAATTTTCTAAAAAAATGAAACCAGTTTAAGATTTTTTAATCTAGACCACAAATATCTGCAGAGACAGTAAACTATTTGTCACATTATGAACATCTTATAACTGAAAAAAAATAAGTAAGTAATTTTTTTTTTACACTTTTAGTCATCATAACTCACCACACCATATCAAGACAAATATTCAAAGGTACATGGACGAGAGAAAAAAATTTTAATTTGTAAATTTATAACCTAATCGAGTTTTATCTAACTGTTTAGATTTTATATAAGTAGGTACTTTAAATTTAACCAAAAAATTAGATTCAAAAAATATATATATCAAATATCGATTATTACTAAAATACAATTGTTGTAGTCAATAGGAAGCTACTATTATGTATAAACACTAAAAAACCATCATATTTACTTATAAAAAATAAAGAAATACCTTGTTCAATTAAAAATATTTTTTAAATTCATAAAATACTTAATATTTATATTTTAATTTGTTTATGTCAAATGTATTGATGATAATATCCTCTAGGTTTTTGATTAAGTACCTAGTATATTAATGTAATTAATTAATTCTTTATGGTCTATTGTACATAGGTACCATATTATTACAAAATAATATGCAGGTAAATAAGGTTAAAGGACAATTTAGCGAATCTGATTAAGCACAACCACTATTAAATATATAGGTACTTTAGATCTTATCCGTAGATCTTTAACCGTGGGCACAGCACAGTCATTGATATCAACTACATTTTGGCAAACTCAGGTGTTGTGAATTAATACATAATTTTGGCGAAATTTCGAAGTTTAGAAATGTATTAACTTAATAACAATATTTTTATTTGTGTTATTATTATTATTAAATAAATATAATATTTACATTTTTTTGCAATTTGGATTTTTAAATATCTACCTGCTCGTTTAAGGCACCATTCAAGTTACAAGATACCTATTCAAAGAGTATTCAGTATTTAAAATTTATTATCTGGCATATTTTAATAAATATGATGCGTACCTAACCATTATTAATCTAAATTTTATTTATTTAAAACAACGGTTGGGTACCTATCTACCTATTAAGTTTTGTTGTTAATCTTTTTTTTTAAACACAAAATTCGTTGTTACTGTTAAGCGTGTTGTTAAATTACTTAACTATGAATTATAATTATTTAATATGCAGGTATGTACCTATTTATAAATTATAATAGTTGATTCGCCATAATTCCAAGTTCCTCGAATAAAACAATGCATTTAGCAATGCAATGTACCTACACTCAGTAATTCAAATTAATATTCCGTGCGAACCATCTAAATACAAATAGCATCACTATAATCAAGTTAGTCTTAATAAAAAAAATAGATTTAATTTCAGAATATAAATAATTTAATCAAGAAAAACTGAGAAAAATAATCAAACTATCTTGATAAATAATTTTGTATTTACATTATTAACAGTGTTATCTCCACTTTCTAGATTCTAGTATCTTTTATCAATTTTTAAGAGATAAATTATCAAATAATAATTTCACTATGATTATGTAAGATAAAAAATTAAATAATATTACCACAAAATATATATTTGATTTTAATAAAATTATAAAAAGTTAATATTATTTAATAGTTAAGTAAAGCATAAAAATAGCAATGGTAAGTTAATTTATATTATGCAAATTGTAGGTAAAATTAGATTGAATTATATATCGAACACATTAATAACACCTACGTATTAATGTTATGTTAATAATCATTTGCAACAATATTTTAATTAAGCATTTTCGTAATAGTTATCATTTTTATAATTTAATCTGTCTTCTAGTTACAAAAAGATGTCAAACTGGATAATATATGTAAAACATGGCTATTAGAAAAACACATTGATTTCTTAAAATCATTTGGTAAAGAAAGGAATCAATATGTAAGCAATAACCTATAATTTTATTTTGAAACATTATAAACTAAAATGTCACTGTGTACACTATGTAGGAAAGCAATATGATGGAATTCCTTCGTATGTCTGGCATGTATTGGGGCTTAACAGCATTACACTTGATCAATAATGGACAAATACCCAAAGAAGAGGAGATATTTGAATATATTAAAAGTTGCGAACACAATAATGGTGGATATTCACCAGCTCCAGGTCACGACCCTCATTTACTGTATACACTCAGTGCTGTTCAAGTTAGTGTTATTTGATAATATAGCTCCATAGAGATGTTACATTTATTTTGTCCACAGATTGCTTGTTTACTAAATCGAGAATCGGAGTTACCTATTGAAAAGATTGTGCAATATGTATCTTCACTTCAATTAAAAGATGGGAGTTTTACTGGTGATAAATGGGGAGAAATTGATACTCGTTATTCGTTTTGTGCATTAGCTTGCTTATCACTTTTGGTAAATATATTTTAAATACTTATTTTGTAGGTAGATATTTCATATTTTTTTAATAATATATTTGGTTTAAACAGGGTAAACTTAATGAAATTGATTTAGCTAAATCTGTAGAATTTATAAAGAGTTGTCAAAATTTTGATGGGGGATTTGGATCGCGACCCGGAGCTGAAAGTCATGGAGGTTTAATATACTGCTGCGTTGGAGCATTGTCTATAGCGGGTATGATTGAAAATATTAATATTTCAATTATATTCAATTTAATATTTTATTGGTGGTATCTTTAGTGTATAATTTGCAATAATTAAAAACATTATTTTTGTTTATGTTATTGATTATTGTTACATTATTTTAGGACGTTTAGATATTGTTGATGCTGATACATTGGGTTGGTGGTTAGCTGAAAGACAACTACCATCTGGTGGACTTAATGGCCGACCTGAAAAATTACCTGATGTTTGTTATTCTTGGTGGGTATTTTCAACATTAAATATTCTGGGACGTGACCATTGGATTGATAAAGAACAATTAAAAAATTTTATTTTAGCATCTCAGGTAATGACAGTGCTTTTAATATTAAAATAATATCATTTATAATATTTTTTAATTTATCAACAGGATAATGAAGGAGGTGGATTTAGTGATAGGCCTGGAGATGAACCAGATCCATTTCATACTCTCTTTGGTATTGCAGCATTATCATTAATGTCATATGATAAAATTTTACCAATAGACCCTACCTATTGTCTACCAAAGACTGTTATTAATAGGTTAGGTTTAAAACCGCAAACTTTATCTCGCCCTTAAAAAGTAAGTTTACACAATTTTGTCAATGTTATTCATGCACAAATATTAAAATGTAAAAACTTATATACTTAAATATTGATGTACACTGATGAGCTAAATATGTCTTTTATTTGTATTTTAATATACTGTAACTTTCCAAAAATACTCACATTTAAATAAAATTAACATACAATTCAAATATTTTTAAAAAGAAACCTTACATATTGATATCATAAGTTAGATTAGAAGTATGTTATCCAAAAATAATATTTTAAACTTCATAGCTTATTTGTATATTACATTTCATTCTCACTATAAAATAAATAAATATAAGCCATTAATAATAACTAGGGTCTTAAATATATAGAGTAGATAAAGTGTACTAGAATTGTTATCTAAAATATAACATTTTTGTTGCTCCAATTCAATATAATATAAGTAATAACATTAATTATAATGTAGCCCATGACAAAATAAATAGGCATGCCAGCAACTTAGTTATATGCACAAAGTTATGCGTTATAAGTTTATTATCAATTGTAGTCATATGAGTATACAGACTTAAAATATATTATATGTTTATGTATCAGTATTATGTTGTCCGGTTATCGTATAGAGACGAAAGCAGACAGCCATGTTTGCGTGAAATCTCCTGTGGATATTACTGTTTTATCTATTTAGTTTTTCATGTAATAGTTAATAAATTCAAGACTTAAATAGATGTCAAATTTTTGGTCATAATTCTTTTAAAAGCTTCTTGGATTAATGGGGTGCACAAATATTCCTAAGTTAGTTATAGTTAATGAATCAATGCATTTTATTTGAATCTATAGACATAATTTAATATTATGTAATTTATTTATTAATTTTGTAATATTCAAAGTGGATACAAATTGACGACTGACACTCATTTTTAGTTTTGAAACATTTATTAACAGAGACTAGATTTATATGCTCTTAGAATGGGTTTAAAAGTCCCCTCCCTCTCCAACAGTTCTTATTTATTAAATAAAATTATCGAACACCAAAAAAATTATTAACACAAAGTCATTTTTGCTGTTTCTATTTTCACAGTATTTTTAAATCAGTTTTTTCGCAAAAAGATATTTTTGGCTTTTTTTTTTAGAGCATTTTTCAATAATTTTTAGAACATTTATATCAAGGCCCTACAAATAACCTTAAATTGACACATAGATATATTAATTTATAGAAACTAGAAAAATTAATTATACAAAGTTTTATTTTTATCCTACTTTTTTTTTACATTTAGGAAAAATTTTAATAAATTCCATTAAAATTTCAATTATTAAGTATTGAATATATACATATAGCTAATTTTTTTTATGAATAATTAACATAGATAATAATAGACTAATAATAGAATAATAGACTGGTTCAGTTTTATTTACACAATATAAAATACCCAGCTAATTAATTTATCTTAAGTGGTGGCGATCCTCGATTCCTCTCTTTATGTTTTAATTTGGATGTCTATTATTTATTTTTTTGATATGTTCTAACTATATTTTTCAATTAATTTTAGAATTATAGCTGATCTGCCTGAGGCATTCATAGGAATATTTAATGTGACACCGATAACAAATAACAAAATGTTTTCAGAATGCGATGCAGGGCTTCTAAACCACTATAATAATTATATTAGTTGTACATTTTATATAGATATAAAGTATAAAAATATATTATTAATATTGGTACCAACAAAATTATTTTATTTATTATTATTTGTCATTTAATTAATTATTACAAAACTCGATACCTAGTTATTACAATTATTTTAGATATGTATTGGCACAAACAATTTAAAAAAAAAAACATTTTTAAAAATATCACAACTGCTAACAACAAAACTTATTGAATTTGATTATTATATAAATATATATATATATACATTTGTAATGGTCTAATGATTTTAAGTAAATTTGGTTTCTATTATTTTTAATCATTATGAAATTATTTAAATTTAATTTAAAAATTGTCAACTTTTATAATTTATACAGTTTTATCTTAATTGAGTATTAACTTATCATTTTCAAATGACAACCCCTCTTTTTTGTAACATAAAAAAATAATAATAATAAAAATAATGGTATTATTTTTCAATTTTTGTATGTATAACATATCGGATGTACAATTTATAAGTTATAACTACGGTTAGGGACTTCTAACGTTTGCATATTATGTTTGAAAGAATAAAAACAGCAGTCAAACATAAACACATCATGTAAAAAATCTAAATCCTAAGTTTTATTTTGCATACATTTTTTATGCATATTTTAGTTTTTGCTTTTTAGACCATATTTTAGCAGTATGTAGCTTTTAAGTGTTATAAAAAGACATTTCTTATATCTTATCTTATTGTGTCACGTATTATACACACTTTTTTCGATTTTCATTGTTCAAATTCTAATCACTGGATCACAAAAGAATAAAAAAATAACTTCGTACATTGTACACAAATACATATTTAATTAATTAATTAATATTTATTGTAATTTAAAATTAAAAAATATAAATGATTAAATAAAATTGTATACTTAATTTAAAAAAAAATGAATGTTCTTATTTTCATTTAGGATGAATAGAATCATTTACACATTAAGAGGACATTATACTTGCAGCTGTCTCAGTCTTTCAAATGTACGGTGGAGTAAATTTACATTCAGCAATGAAAATATTGTGTTGTAATTTTAATAATAGAGCATATTTACCTATTATCAACCTTTAGGATAAGAATGTATGTAACTTTGGTGCTATTTTTTCAACATTTTAATTTTGAATAGAGATATGAACATGTGAAATATCACAATTCAATAATGTTTATATCTTACTTAAAAATTGAAAAATAGAATTAACATTGCACAGATGATAACATATTATTATCTTAAAGTTTGATAATAAGGCAATTCAGTCTTAATATTAAAACCAACTGCATAAAGTTGTCCCGGCAGAATGTAAATTCATAGAAGTAGTAAAGGTTAAAAATTAAAAACAATCCATACATTAACGACCTGTTTAAGAGTGAGTAAATCATTAGTGTAAATCTGTATTATTTATAAATTTCTAATATAACAATAATATAAAACATGTTTAATATAAAGTATAACTAAAGCACTTTATTGCGAATATGATCTAAGTGTTGAATCTAGCATAGCAATTGATAATAATAATTGTAATAATATATTAAGATGTTTTACAGAATGAGTTTAACTCCTTAAAGTATGTAATTGTATATGCATTTTATAATTATATTAAATTTAACTATTGTAAACTAACTATAAGTCATAATCAAAACAAACTAAAAATAATTTAAAAGCACTACAAATTGCAATGTAAAAAGGCTAGTCAATTCTTCTTCTCTTTCCCTTTATCGGACACCCTCGTCCTAAACTTCTACTTAACTCGATTTCCCACCTAACATACACCGGCTCTCCTCATATCATTGTCAATTGCATTTAACCAACAAATTTTCAGTTCCCCCCCCCCTTTTTTTTTCTACTACGTTTATTTTCATTACAATTCTTATGCTTCAGATTCCTCTTTTCATGCCATATCCTATGTATTTTCTCTCATTTTATCTACTATTGAAGCCGCGCTTATGCTGCCTCTTATGTGGGTACTAATTCCTTATCCTATCTTCCTTCGTCACTCTACTCATCCACCTAAACATTCTTATCTTTGCTACATTTATTTTCTGTTATATTTTTTTTGTCTATTACCCAACTTTTTGAACTATACAACATTCACCACACTTTTGAAGAACTTGCATTTAAGCTCATGGGAATTCTCTTGTCACATAAAACACTTGATACTTCTCTTCACTTTATCCAACCGCTCTTAATTCTATGTTTCACATCTTCGTAAAAGTCGTAGGTACTTAAAACTCTCAGCACCACTTATTACGCTGCTGGTTATTTGCATTAGCCGCTCTGTTCCTCCAAATTCATACTTTATCAGAGTCTGAACATGGTACTGTTCTGGTCCACTCCCACAGTCAATTAGCTTGATTCAATATATTGAAATAATTCCAATAGGCAATAGTTTTATTAAATTTAAATTATCATAATATTATTTTATTATAATGTGTACAACAGATAATAGATTGTCTAAGTTGAACATTTCAAATTCACGTCGCAGTTACCCTCAACTGAGCTTATTGAAACATTTAAAATGCAATAAAGAAAAAAACCCCACACGAAATAAATGAAAACGTTTTTGTACACTCGAACGTAAAACGTTTTCGAACATTTAAAACACCAAACGAAAAAAATTAAAACGAAATTATCCTATACGTTTTTAATCCCTGGCGAAGACACATTATTGACACATATTATGCGTATGTCGAGCATGTTTCTCGAAGTGTTTCTCCCTCTTATTATTTGTGGCGCTATCTGGTCCGGCTATCTTTTTACCTCTGCCGTCTCCCGCTAGACTTTTGCACATTGTTATTGAATACATTATTTATATAGGTAGTAATATTATTATTGTAAGAGCGCACGCTAATGAGCTGATCGAAAAATAACGTTCCCGTTTTACTCGCCAGTATACTTATTTTAATATGGTATTCACAAAGACACAACGTACTTATTTACGTAGCAGTCTATAACGACTAACAAACATATTGAAAGATCTTGGCTTTCCCGGTAGAAAATAATTCTCAAGCGTATTTACCTACATGAAGATAAAGGAATACAATACATTTATCTAGATAAAGATAAATAATAATTTCTCCAAAATTATTGAGTAGACATTTAAATTACGTAGGTATTTCAGATAAAATATTAAAATAATAGTTGAGGCCTCAAGTGAGATGTTGACCTGTTGCTCTCAGCGGTTGTTTTCGAAATTTAAAAAATATACCAGTTGCCCTCAATCAAAAATATGCCAGTTGTCGTCCTAAATCAAATTTTCCAGTTGCCCTCGCTGTATAAAATAGCGCGTGTGTAGTACAATTTTACCAAAACGAGGCATTTTAGACAACAGAGAAAACTGTAGTTTACGATAAATAATGACAAGTAATGTTTCTCTGTAGTCAATATGTAGGTATCTAAGATAGGTTAGGTTACAACTTATGATATTGGTAACAACAATGAATTAGACAATATCGCACTACGTGTGTTATTATCATTGAAAATATCGTGTTTAATATTTTTTATCGTATGTATTTGCTTTAAGAATTTACCAACCCTATTTTAAGACGGTGTATATGATATATTGAAGGCAACTGGTGTATTTTACTCTAGGTGTTTTGGGAAGACTCGGTATAAAAAAAGATACTTGATCTTTTGGGATTGCACACGATCGGGTAAACATGCAATACGCGGTTAACTCTCTTGCCTCCTAGAGTGGTCTGATTTTCAAAAGTTATAATTAATTTAAATACAATCAATCACTACACGTTTATAAAATAAGGTTTCCTACCATGTAAGAACAAGAGAGAAATTGTAAAAACAATGTCAACACTACTATAATAATTAATTTTTAAGTTTTTTATTTGGTAACATAATTAAAAAATCGAAGTCCAATTTGACTTGAGGCTCTATAGGAGATTTACCACTTTTTCACGAAAAAAAATAACAAACACAACATCGAACGTCTCTACGAGGCAGGAGAGTTAACTAACCCAAGTATGTTTTGAGTAAAAAAATAGGATATACGCACTACACAAACACCTAAATACACAAAAAAAATCGATTGAATTTTTCGTTAAGAATTATTAAGATTATTTAGCTATAAATGTTAACAATATGTAAAAAAAAAAACTAAAATTCTTAAGTGGAATTAATTAATCTAGAATAAAATAAAAGATAATTTTGTTTAATTGTTTATATTATAGACAACACTGTAAAACAGAGAGATGAAAATGTAAACGGTTTAAATAATTCTGTAAATGCATTCTGTACATTTTGAATAAATTTTAAACTTTAAATAAGTTTAATTAGAATAAACCCGGAATAAACCTCTGTGTTTAGCGTTGTTCATTATTTGTTTCAAAAAATGTCAAACTAGATTTATTATTTCTACTATGACAGTACACATTTTACCAAAAAAAAAAAAAAAAAAAAGCCAATTTGACTAGATTTTCAATTTAATAAACTTATTAACTTTTAACGTAATAACTCGTTAGTATATTTTTCCATCGCCTAACCGATTTAATAACATTAATTTAGTTAATATCGCCTATACACGTAAGTATCAATAATTAGGTAAAGGTTCCATAATATTATATTATTATACCCCTATTTCTGAATTACCAGATTTAAGTCTTCTCTCCGAACGTAGGGTACACATTAATTTGCGCTTTTTACGGAACTTAATAAACGGGGTAATATTGATTCGCCTCTATTACTCTCCGGGATTAATTTTCGTGTTCCACCACGTGCAACAACGAACTACGACTCCTCTTTATGTTCCTAATTACAGCACATATCATGCAGGATTTAGTCCACTAAACAGGCTAATGAGTCTTGGCAATGAGAACCCCTCCATCTTTAGTCATCTGTGTACTCGGCATTCCACTGATTTATGTAAATCTTTTTGTGGTTAATTTTATTTTTATTGTACCTATTTGTATTAGTCAATTTTCCGTCATACAACTACACTTGGGTCCATCCCGTCACAAATAATAAATAAATAAATAATAAATTATAGTGTTGGCGGTACAATACACGTACTACAGTGTCTATACACTTTTTATACTTACCTGTTTTATATTATAATACGTCCGCGCGACCCGTTCAGTTGAAGATAATATTGAAACGTAAACGATATTTATAAAAAAAAAAAATAAATAAAAATCTTCTCTTTTTTTCTCTCGTCTGTATACCTACGCGGGACACGCGGCTGGCTCGTCGGACGCGATTGTCAAGGCGGACGAGAGAAACGTCTCCGCGAGGCAATGTTATTGTAAACGCGAACCGGCGTTAGCGGAATATCATCTCGGAGACGCCAACATGACGCCCATGGGTGTCTCCGGCCGTATACATTAACGTTGATTTATGTCCGTTTCGTACGATCCGTGGCGGGCAGCGGCGATACAGAGCGATTCCGTTTTACTATTATCACGGGCTTTTATCATCTATGTACGGAGACCGAGTAAAATTCGATTTGGTTTTTTTTTTTTGTTCCCCTCAGACTTTATACCGTTATTATTATTATTATTATTGTTATTATTGTTGTTGTTGTTGTTATTATTATTATTGTTATTATTGCAGAACCGTCCAACGATCCTTATATTTACAATATTTTTGTTAGTTTTTTTTTCACCCGAGTATTTACGCCCTATTCCGCGTGTACCGTCACAGACGTCATTTATCGACTTGTGATTTTCACAGTCACGTCCGAAATAAGTGAGTACACTTTTCTCAAAACGTCGACACGCGTAATAGTCGTGTCAACGTCGTGTCGCTACATGTCGGATGTAAATTTAGTCCGGTGGATTTAACATCGGTATCTTTCTGCATAACACTATGCAGTTGTGCAATGTATTGTTACGCTCCTCGGAACGGAACCTCGCCGTAATCGGTACGTTGCGTCCGTATCGCGAAACGCGTTCAAACGAAAATGCTCCGTTCGAATCGCGGAGTTCAATAATATTAGTTATGCTAATTGAAAACGGATACAACGGGTCGATCCATTTAAGTGGGTACACTCGTTATCTCCGAAAGTATTGACTTTATTTATTCGGAGTTCGTTTTCTAGAACGTTAAACGGATGATGATAACATATGTTGTTTTCCGTCACTCTTATTATTGGGGGGGGGGGAGGAGGAGGCGGCGGCGGTGAAACCACTAGGTACCATTGTTGAGATATTCCACTTTTAAGTTTGGGTTGGTGTAGAGTAGTGGAGTACCATTTTTGTGGTGGTGCGAAGCGCGGCGTGTTTATAACGCACCACTACTCTCCTCCAACTCGAACTTAAATGTGAAATATCTCGTCAACGGATTGACGGAAATCAAAAATGTCAACACTAAAATTTATTTTAACCAATACTCCGTTTATTTATGGAATTTTTTAATATAGGCTGCCATTTGAAAATCAAAAGTGAGCGGTGATTTTACCTCTAGTAATAAGGGTGACAAAAAAATAACATAAACATACAATTCCGGAGCGGCTCGTTTCTTAGATGTTCTGGAAAAAAATTCCGGAAAATATCCGAGATAATGAGTACACCCACATAAATGGATCATCTGGTACCTAACTACTTATTAAATAACCATACGTTCGTGCCGTTTACGGTAGATGCGGTAGATACATGGAACAAAGGTTTAATGCATAACGAAAATATGTGTATTGTAAATAAGATTATTCATCGGTTATAATATACCCCCGAATGAAAAAAAAAAAAAAAAAAATCTAAATCAAATTAACCGGAAATCCGCGCAGGTACTACTATATAGATAATCGTCGGTTTGCGATAAAAAAATAAAAAAAAAATGAACCATTCTGTATATTATAAGACAAACGGATTCAGTCGAAATGTTAAATATTAATGTACCGGAACGGTTAAAAATTAAAATATATACATATTACTACGACCGATTTAATTTCGTTTTATAGAACGCACACGCATAAAAATTTTTGTGCATAATAATAATACGTATTACAATGTATCTCATCCACTCGGTGAAATTGTTCATTTATAAGAAGGTACCTGCCCGGAGACCCGAGCTTCAGGCGGAGACGGAGTCGCTGTTTCGCGAGTTGGATGTACGCGCATTTATTTATATTATATTGTATCGAAATATCACATTTGTTTTTTTAAAAAAAAATAACTTACTCAATTAAATGAGCGCCGAGATTTTATAAAAACATTATTCATTTGCGAATACAAGAATTTTGCCATCTCATAAAGACAATTCGATTATTAAATTAACGTAAATGCCTATAGTAAAGTGTCTCGTAGTGTCTCCTCGCCGGTTAATTTATTCAATTAAATGTGTTAACATTGTTGACATTTACGGAAATACAATTAAAAAAATATTAAATTAATAAGAACCCGTTGACAACGGTGTTAGCGATATAGATACAAAACAAAAACAAATGGAATAGTTGCCGGCATTGCTACGTCATGACGATCAACCGAAAGTTATTGACGCAGATGTGTGAATTTAGCACCCGATTCGTGCTCTCAATCGAATTTTTCCGAAAAGAAAACCCGGACAAACGGACTTCTAACGGACTTTCAAAAAAACACTTCAATATCAAATTCCGGGGAAATCCCATGTATCTAGGTTTTGAGATAAAAATTAAAAATATTTACACAATTACTAGTTGTGGCCATTAATTTTCTGCGTTCGGCACAAGACCTCTCCTTGGCCATGGTGATGGAGATGGGCCTAAAGAGCGTTGAGAAAACGGTTGACGGGGACCGTAGTAGTGACAGGACAATGACTTCTCTTTATTTTGACTCCGGCGGATTGGCGTTTTAATAAGAATGTAAGTTTAGTTGGAGTTTAGTTTTAGTTGGAGTTTTAATAATCCCGGAAAGTAAGAATCAAGACCGTATTCGTCCTAAAATTATATGCACGAGCACGGATATGTATTTCTTTGGAATTTAGAAACTGAAATTCTTAATTTTCCGGACTAAAAATTTAACAACTAATAATTATCCGGACTAAATTTTAGATTCGGAGCGTAGGGAGGTTAGATAAATAGACGGAGTATTAGTTTTAAATCAAAATTTGGTCTTAAAGTTTTTAATTGAAAATTAAGGATAGTAGGTAATAAAGGAACGACAAAAAAAAAAAAAAACACCATAATATTTTTATATTTTTATTTCTTAAATAATCTAAATAACAAGTTTCGAAAAAAGTTAATACCTGCTATCTCATATAACGGGTGCCTATGGAAAATACCTTAAAATATCCTCTGCAGCATTAACATGTAATAAATGTATATGATCTCAAATAACTATTTATTACCGTTTTGTAATATAATTGATATATTTTTAACGTAACCTAACCTTCCAGTTTTAAATTAACCAGTTTTCATTTTACGTTTTTTCCAGTTTTTCTTAATTAATACAAAAACTATTTGGAAAATCAAAAAATGAATTACTCACCAAACTAGATTAAAAATGCAAAAAACAAAGGGTCTCTTTTTGTTTTTCTATTCGAGCAGTATTCATGGTTGGAAACATAAGCCAAACATAACAATTTAAAATATTTTTTTCAATATTCTTTTTAATTTTTCATCTTTTTCCGGTTATCCTGGTTATGATGAAAACCGCTTGAAAAATCGACTTATTTCTCTAGCATTTAGATCCGAAATTCAATAAAAAATGTCTTTTGATTTAAGCAATATTTCTGGTAGAAAACATAGTTCGAAAAAATTAAATACAATGAAATCGATAACACAGCGGCGCGTCATAAATATTTGTCATTTTACTTATAATTTTCTTTCCGGTTTTCCCAATTATTTTTTAAATCCTTTGGAAAATAAAAAAATATAACCTTTTTAATACACCAATTAGATAAAATTTCATTTCGGAAAAAGTACTACACTCTATACAACGAAGTAATATTTATGTTAGAAAAGTTGTTTACAGACAGAAAAAAAAGAGTAAGATTTTTAAAATCGTTAAAAATAAATAAATTACCCGATTAAATAAAATTTAGTGTTGTAGTATTTATCTATAACAATGGTATAACCACCGACGTCTACGAGTAACCTTAAATATTATATTATCAACGATAATTTAACGAAAAATTAATTATACATATTATAAATTATTAAAATACTCGAAAAATTAATTATTTAATTTTTTTAATTAATCAAATAGAAATTTGTCAGAATTCCAAGAGTTCAATTCTGTTTTAACATTAACCAGATACAAATATATTAGGGTACATAATTATGAAGAAAAATTGCAAGAAAGTTACATTCGAGAACAAAATTCTTGATGACAACATCCTTACATCGGAGGGGTCAACTTCCAGCTCGGATGACTCGACATCCAACTCGGATGAGTCGACCTCCAATTCGGATGAGTCGACCTCCAGTTCGAATGAATCGACCTCCAGCTCAGAGGAGTCTACCTCAAGTTCGGAGAAGTCGACCTCCAGTTCAGAAGAAATTACCTACGGCTCGGAGGAGTTGACCTCTGGTCAACGTACGAGTACTATATTAATCTCGAAGGAGCCAACCACTTGCCGAGATTCTACCGGTAAATAATCGAATTTTTAGATTAAGATTTGATAGTTAACAGAAAAAAATATATCAATTATACTATATACGGTAATAAAAAAATGGTTATCTAAGATACACACGATCAGTATTTCGTTGCTTACGACGCAATTTGTATTTGTTTTTGTCAAAGGCTAGAAATTAATTCAATTGTTTTCAAAACAAAATTACTAATCGGTAATACTGCAAGTTGTTCTATTTTAATTTATATTTTTAATTTCATATGTTTATTTATATATTTGTATTAATTTGTGTACTATACATTTTTCTTTTCTTTCTAATAAAAATTTACCGGATTTCATGAAATTTACATTGGTCATTTATTTATCTTTGATTTTACAACACTCTAACACTCTGAAAAATGATCATCTATGTATATAGTACGACCCGTTCTATATCTTATGTTATTATTGCTAATTTCCATCAATAAATTATAGATAAAATTGTAAAGAAGAAGGATCTGGTCGATCCATCAGATATTGAAGAGGAAATGTTTAAAAATGACAGGGAAATGAAAGCATATGTAGACAATGCATACTTCTTGGAATTCCATAACTACAAGAATGTTTTTGAAGATAATTATCCCGATGTATGTAAATTGGATTTACAATTTAAGAATAATATTGGAAGTATAGATTTTCCCAGAAGCAAAGAAGGTAATAAAATAATGGCAATTCAAAATAGCCTACTTAAAATAGCTCAGTTTTGTAAATAAATTTGACCAGAATCTGTTTTATCACTTTTTTTACTGTATATCAGTGGCATAACCTTGAGAGGGAGGGGGGAGGTAATAGGTGAATTTGAAACCAATACAAGGACGTTTTTTGTATATTGCATTGTTTTTCTTCTTGTCATATATTTTTGTGAAACAAGGTATTTAATATTCCCCCTCTTCACTTAAATTTATTCAGGTATGTCAAATTTGTACATTATATTTTAGGTAGTCGTCAATAAAAGAGGAAAGATTGATAAGAAAAGGTGATAGGGGATTTTCAAGATTATTAATATGTACCTGAGAAAATATCTTATTTTTTAAAAAAAAATGTTTAGATATTATATTTATTTTGCTTATGATAAAATATTACATAAACTATTTTATAATATTATATAATCTACCATTTAAGTTCTTATCATTGCATATTTCCCATACTTTAATAAGTATTATACTTGCAGGGTAAATAATTGAAATTTCAGAGTTTGAAGATATTTTTAATATGTGATAATGCTAAACTCTGACACACTCTTCCGCCCATTTTTGTACTTCGTTTTAACTTACTAAACATTTTTTTATAATATTTGGTGTTATAATTGTTAACTTATGATGTGAGATGTGAGCTCCATAAATTTTTCCGAATTTGTATGTCATTCGGTAAATGTATTTTATTGTTGTTAAAATCGAATGATTGCTCATTTTAAACGGATTCACAGGTCTAATAGCATTAATAACTTAACTGTCATTTTATGATCAATAGTTTACAAACAGTATTTTGTTGTCATCACATAATTTTTTATTTGTTTTTGTCAGAGGTTTGCCAATAATTTTTGGTAGTTGTTTTCAAAGCATCATAAATATCAATAATACTTCAAGTTGTTCTGTATTCTATTTCAAATTATTTATATTGCTTATTTTATTTGTATATTTGTATTATTATATGTATTATATATTTTTATTTTTATTTTATTTCTAACCAAAAATTTACCTGATTTAATGAAATTTACGTTGTGCCACTTATCTATAACGGGAATATCATCATTGCTGTATCCCAACTACTCTTGCATCCCTTAACGGTGACGTCTATAAGTAACCGCAAATATTATAATGTTTTTTTTTTTGTAGTTTATGTATTTTTGATATGCTAATTAATATAAATAATTAAGTGTAGTTTCTTAATTAATCTAAGAAAAAATGTTTAGAAATTCGCGATGTTGTTTAATTTTTGATTTAATAATAACTAGATACAAATATTTCAGCGTGTATTATGGAGGACTGCGACATAATTGTCACTTTAGGGAACGGAAATATTAATGATTACACCTCCAAGAAGAAGAAGTCTACCTTCATGTTCAATAAATCGACCTCCAGGAGTCATAATGCCTACACTTTGAAAAAGTTGAAATCCAATCGACATTTCACTGGTAAATAACCGAATTTTCTAACCAAAAATTGATAGCTAATTTAAAAATACATCAATTATACAACAAACAGTAATATATAAGTTATCTGAGATCATATTACACTTTATTTTACTTCTATACCGCAAAGTATATTTTAAAATATTTTCAATTATAGAATATTGTAAAATAAAATAGAGCTTTGTTACATTCGTCTTCTCCAACCGTTTTGAAAGAAAAATTGTATGTGCCAAACACTTTGTTTTAATGTTTATTGCACACCTAACCTTAATAATCTCTTTTTATATAATGATTATAATACTACGTTACTTGTTTTCTCTTAAGTACCGATATTGACGATTTGATAATTATTTTGAATATAATTAAATATGATTTATTATAAGTCGAATTGTTTATATTGACAAAGTTTTCAAAAATATTATTGTGTAGCTGTCAATATAAATTTGTATGATGTTTTTGTCAGAATTAAGTGCGAACAATTTTTCTTGTAATTGGTTTGAAAAAAAATTGCCCATTTGTAACACTCAAAACCTCTGAATATTGATAATTTATTTGTATAGTACTGGCTGTTCTAAATTTTATATTATTATTTAGAATTTTTAACCGTTAAATTGCAGATATAATTGGAAAAAAGAAGGATAAAGACGTCCCATCATATATTGAAAAGGAAATGTATATAAATAATAGAGGAAACAGTAAATGTATTGAAATTGCACGTTTCCTAGAAACTGAAAACTCTCAAGATGCCTTTTGCGATAATCACACAGAAATATGGAACGCTGATGTACAAATTGAGAATCATATTGAAAATCCCTATTATCCAAAAAGGAAGAAAGGTAACAATAGAAAAATAAGATTTTGTACTTACATTTGATCAGAGGCTATTTTTATTACATTTTCTCAGTGTTTGAAGAACACGCGTTCAATATTTCGTCAACGACCCATGAAAGCATTAAATTATTAGATAACTATGGCGTAGTCACGATTTATCAATAGAAGGAAAGGAGTTGTATAAAAAAAGATCGGTTCTATACCAGAAACCAGGAGTCCGGATTCGGGAGTTAGGAGTCAGGAGTCGGGATTTGGGAGTCGGGATCAAGGCACAGGTGCTATCCAATCTATATTCAACTATAATATCCACCACGTACTATTTAGACCATGGCTTCATCCAAAATTTTGTTTCTTTTCCAATAAATTCCACCGGACTGGGGGGTGTCGGGTTAGTATTGCTTACATCAGCCCAGAACCCTTTTTTAACTGGATAGGTTCTCGATGCTTAGCAGCCAGATTAGTAGCTTCTGCAGCCTGTTCGTTTTTCGTTCCTTGTCATAATCGCTTAGATCATGGCGAGAAAGTCCTTTCTTATACACACCGCCGTCTCGATTAGTTTTGCGATATCAGGCGGCACTGGTCGTCCCACAACCCATCTAGGCCACAGTTCCACAGGACGTCTAATGTGTTAGATAGCACCCGCGCCTTGATTTCGACTCCCGATTCCCGATCCCGGCCTCTAACTCTTAAATCCCGGTTGCCGACTTATGACTCCCGACCCAAAACCACTGTATATATCTTACTGACGGGATTAGGAGATTTAGGCGTTTAAAAACACCTTAACCTTATCTAAAGCGAAAAAAAAAGGAAAGTTACAACACCCATAACTTCTCTCTGGCTACGCTTTAGACAGTGAACGACTTTGTTTTGTCCATTTAATAAAAAAAAAGTACGGAAATGATACAAACAGTATAGTTTCTTAATTATTAATCTAAGAACGCATTGTCAGAATTCCGTTCGATTTCTGATTTGATATTAACCAGATACAAATATTCTAATTAATATATATTCTACATTTTAGCCTTAACCACCAGTCGACATACTACATCAATCTCAGACGAAGTGATTATCTTAAGCGATTGATTCGTGCACCATTTTTTGTCCCTTTGTGTACTTATCTGTTAGTAAATATATTATAAGTAATTGCATTGTGTTTTGTATATTAATTGTGTACGCAATTTTTAATTACATCGTTATTTAAAATATAAATATTTGTTTACACATATATTGGACTGCGAACAAGTATTAACTATTAACTGTTCATTTGTAATAAAGTACTATATATTGTAATACATTTTATTTAACGCAATAACATAAATCATCGAATTTTAAATAAAATGTTACAATCAGTCTCATTTAGTCTATATGAGTGATTCTGGATCATTATACAGACGTGGTTATGGTGTCTAGACATTTGGCTATCCTATAATACATTTAACACATGTCCGCCATTAACATAATCTCCAATGATTTAATTGTGAATGTGCGTGGGTGTGCAAAAAAGATTTCATGTAATCACCAAAGTTGTTCCGGATATGGTTGTTATTTACGTCTGTTGGTAATTTAATGTGCGCACACGAATTGCCTCCAGTGATTTTTATTTTAAAAAGGTTAGGTTTGAATTGCCTCCCGATTTCAAAAATATCATTCATTCGAATTTCCTCCTATTTCTATTTCGATTTTTTTTAAAACTAAACATAATTATACATAGGCGTTAGGTACACAACATTAGTACACATGTCACTAGTAGACATTAGTACACGGTATTGGGTAATAAGTCGATGTCAAACAAGCAAATAGGTATATGTATTGTATCAAAATTGTACGTATTAAAAATCAATAAAAAAATAATAATTAGATAGTTAACTAATCTACTGATAATCAGTTATCGATAAGATCATTGCATTCGACAGATTAATCTGTCTGGGAAATACTATGTATGTACATATTATTATAAACAATAAAAATAATATTTTTGAACATTACGGAAATCGGTATAATAATCGATAGTATACGTCAACTATCGATGTATTAATTAATAATTTTGGTATGCTATGGGGGACAGTTCGAGTGGATGGTTTGAGTATACTCGAATCGCCTCCAAAAACACCTGGAGGCAATTCGAGTGAAAAAAGGTCATCTACCTGCATTCGGGAGGCAATTCGAGATTACCCAATTTAATAGTATCTACAGTTAAAATATCTTAGATATTAGCAAAAAAAATCAAGGGAGGCTTATGCAATATATATACACCTACTCCCTGCTCTTTAGTGTAAATGCCACACTGTAATTCCCAGTTCCAACGACCCAAGGAGTAGTTAAAAATTTGAATAGAGGAAAAGAAAGTCGTAATTTTTTATCTATCTATTCAAATTTTATGTTTACTAAACAATTTTTAAAAGAAACATAGTAAAATAGTTAAAAAGATAAAATAAAATAAAAGTATAAAGCATTTAAAAAGGGCTGTTGCAAACTTAAAAAGTGGGAAAAAAGAGCTGATAGTATTTAGATAACATTTAATATTAATTTTTCAATCGATTATATAAATAAAATATTAGTTGTGATGAAAAATACTAACGTGTATTTATTTAGCAAAGCCAAAGTTGGCTAATTTTAAATATCCTTTACTGCCGAACAGTAAATTTTCCGATTTCAAATCTCTGTGTATTATGTTTTTTGAAAGTATATAATTTAAGGCTTCCACAACACAAAACGAGTTATTAAATCATAAAACCGTCTCTTTTCTTTTTGTAATTAATTGAACAATAGAAGTTAAATTATGGATAAAATTATAGGTAATGATAAATACATATTACAAAGAACTATTTGAATAAAGGTATTCTATAAGTAAAAAAAAATCCACTTCAAATGTTAGGTATTGTGTAAACTGTAGATGAATAAATTAAGTATCTGTCATAAAACGACAAAGATTATATGCTACTTTAGAGATCATTTTGGATTTTCTATGAACCAATTACTCAGAGCAATTGTTCTGCATATTAATTTTTTAGATCGATCAAAAACTATTTTCATTAACCATAGAATGATTGTATATTATATATTTTTACTTTTTTCGTACAATTTTTCAATAGGTACATTTAATCTAATAAACAATAAATAAGTACATACACATATTTTAATATTATCCATAGATAATGTTCGCTATAGCAAGTTTCCAAGTTTCCATTAATGTTCGCATAGTTGCTGTCATCAAAACTTACTTTTGGTTTTTTGCATAACATTTATCTCGTCTATGATGTATTTTTCTAGGTTTTCCTCAACAACAGTATACCAATATTTTTTAATTAAAAATATGTAATAGTATATAATCCACGGTGCTTCCCAAACTTGCTCGTCTCATGGTTCCCTTTTTGAACTGAAGTTTTCTCAGGACGCCCTTACAATTCGTTACAGTTAAAAACATATTATGGTCAGATAAGTATTAGTCGTGATGTTTATTCCATTACAGCTATAGGTAACCAAGGTAAATAAAACCGATATGTATCAACAATAAAGGTAACCAAGGAAAATAAAATCGATATGTATCAACAATTGTTGTCAGATTTGATTAAATTAAAAAAAAAAAAAGTATTGGAAATCTAGACATTTTAGATTCTGAGTGTAGCGAATAATATATTGGTTTTACTAACATTTTTATTTTTTTTTATTTTTTTTATTTTTTTATACTGTGTACGAAAATTCTACCAAAAATCTTGTTTAGATATATACGCGCGGCACAATTTATGAAAGGAAATGTTGTCTAGATGGTACTTTTGGGAGGTAATTTTTTGATTTTTCAAGCGGTTTTCACAGTATCTAGGAAAAACCAGTATAAAACGCAAGAAAAACGGGAAATTTCCGAAAATAATGCTTTATTATTTTTAAATTTTGTTATTTGTTGTAATTCAGTTAAAAATATTCGGAAAGACTTGAAATTCGGACAGAAAACTAATATTTGTTTTTTCTAGACGTGGTAAAAATTATAGACATTTTAATTTTGCGAGTTTTATACGTAATTTTTATTCGGTAGGTACTCAGTTCTAAAATTGTTAGACTTAACAGAAATGCTTAAAAACTTAACAGGAGGTTCATTGAAAGTCTAACTTTGTGGTAAAAAAAAATTTGAACTTCATGTGGTAATTTTTTTATAAAGGAATTTTAATATTAAATTTTGATGAAAATCGTTAGAGTAAAAAATTAGCCCTCCAATTGCCTATTAATTGCGTCTAGAAAGGGCAAAATAAGTATAAGTTTTCTGTATAAATTTGAAATTTCTACGAATATTTTAAACTGAATTACAAAAAAATAGTAAAGAATTAAGAATGAGCTGATATTGGGGACGGGTGTGTCACTGTTGTAGACGGAATGTTGGGAAGGTAGGATATAAAAAGTTATTTAATTTGTATAGAATGTAAACTATGATAAACTATTGCTATCGAAAATCTAATCGATTCAGAACGAATTTTGCGTAAATGTATTTTTGATATGTCTCGACATTCTTTAGATTTTCATCAAAATTTGGACTTAAACGCTTATAAAAAAAACTTACTATAAAACACTCAAGTTTTTTTTTTTTTTTACCAATAAGCGTATAACTTACAATTTACCTCGAGTAAAATGTTCAAGTCATTTAATGTTGTATAATAAACTATTTGCAAATGGTTATATGTTCGTATAGAAAAATAATTGTATTGCTGTATTTCCGCGCTCCAAATACCCACGTCGAGATTTGGACATTTTATCCAGGGTGATTTTTTACATCGTTTTTGCACAAAAACAATTTTGTTCACATAAAACTAAACAATAGTGAAAACCCTCAATAATGGCAAATGTCCGTAAATTACTCAACAATTAACAAAAAATTGTATCATGTAGAAAAATCTAGTATAATTAGTATTTGGTGAAAATGCCAGGGCTTTACGATTATTTTCAACCGAATTACTACAAAAATACAAAACAAAAAATAATGACATTTTTTCTCTACTTCTACAAATATCCCTTCGTAATGTTTTATTTTGATTTATAAAACATTATTGTATTTATATCAGGTAGCACTACTGGGCGTCTTGCTATTTCAATTATTGTCAATGGAAAATTTAGCCATCAGAGTTTCGCTGATTATCTACTTATTGTATAGAATGCAAGTAAATAATTACAATAATATAACTGTTGCTGTAGAGTATTTCACCCAAATATGGGTAAAATATTATTATATGTAATAAAAACATAAGTAAGGAAATAGAGCCGACGACGAGCTTGATACTTGAATTTACTCCGCAGTCTCGGGGGCCGGACATCTTACTGCAGAGATTCTATATAGAATTCGTATTATTCCGTCACATAAAGTTTACTCGTATTTAATCGTTCTATTACAACAACAGCAACAACGAAAAAAAAAAAATTGAGAATAAAACAATATTGAAGTATATGTATTATGTATACTTATTATACGTTTCTATTGTGACTGTGATTTATCGTATTCGAGGCACGGTCGACCATACGTATCTACGACGTTATTCGCTGTCGTAAACAAAGCCTCAACTATATAAACCCCGTCCATTGCCCATTAGTATTATTAGGTATCATTTGTACCTATATACATTTTATAACTAAATTTGTTCGCGGAGTGGAAAAGAGAAAAAAAAAAAATAAATAAAATAACAATACCTACGTGCACGTCTATATAACAATTTTTATGTACCTACCGCTGCAGGTTAATCGTAAATAATTCCAATATGATTTATCGCAAGCATACGTATACGAGCAAGCATGTTATGCAGGTACACGCGGACAATATAATGATAATATAAACGTCTCGCGTAACGGCGTAACATAAAAATCAATATATAGACATAATGGGGTCAATACAGGATAAGTATACATTATATTATGTACTGAAACTTAACTTGCTCTAAAGATCTGTTACAGAATTCCATCCAATTCCCCCCCCCTCACCCTCAAACTAAACATGTCGGCATATTTCGCACCGTGACACCAGCATAGGGGCCGTTGTTGTTGTAGCAGGCGTTGTGTTGGGAAGAAATAGGATACAGGGTAATTTAGTTCGTACACAGAAATCGATTAGTGACGACTCGTGAGCCATTTGCAAGTGGCAAATACGTTGAAAACTACAAACATTTGTTTATTTGTTTACAATATAGATACAGACTTGAACCCGACAGTTTAGTTTGCATAAGGTAACTAATAAAACAACGTGGTGTACACAATAGGTACGGTTAAATCACAGGTAAATGCAACGGTTTTAAACAACATTAAATAGGCGCTTATAGAATGTGTTAAGATCGAATAAAATAAATTGAAAATGATCGTCATTGGCAAGTTTCGTAATGCGATTTAAACGATCGTAGCTTAGATAATTAACAGAAGAGGTTGGTTTTATTTCGTGTTTATGTATGTAATTTTGTAACTTTATTGTGCGAACATGGCATATAACACACATAACATAACATATAGTTAATAATTATTAATGCACAACACAATACATTTTGTACGGATCTGATTGATTGCTGCGTGTAGTAAACGTTATAATTTTCGGCATAAATATGGCCAAGAGGGGTGTTTCAACACCAAAACATTCCCCCTCGCTACGTCACTGGACCGGAATATTATATTAACGAACGGGTATAGAAACTCAATTAAGGATCGACATGGAACGAAGGTATTTAGATTTTTTTTAAACTCTAAACCAAATTTATTAGCTCATATTAGAGATCAAGATCATTCTGTAGTCGTAAGCAGTCTTCGAGCGATGTAATTCTGGAATGGACGTTTATGTTATCGGTGAAACATGACGGGTTAGAGCAGGGGTCGGCAATAGGCGACCCGCGGAAGGAAAAAATATGGACCGCCAACAATTTTCTTAATTTTCCTATATATCCTATGCATCACTCCCCCCCCATCCTTCATAACAAAAATTAAACTAATATTGAAATCGATTTCATGAGGCGCTGAGACAATAATAACGGTTTATCATTATCTGTGTTGTTGTTGAAAGTGCCGCAGTCACGGCTGCGGGCCGAGTCGCTTGCATTCGCGTGTGTGTGTAAAATACAATATTCAGGTTTCAGAGGCGAAGATATAAAAAATCAAGATTTTATTCATTTTCCAACAATCCTTGAATATAAAAAGAATTCCGACATAGACTGCAGTATGTTTTTAAGTTTTTTGTCGGACCTTGGTGAAGAGATGGTAGAGATTCAAAGACTTTGCAGAAATTGGAAAACTGACTCAGTTTTTAAAAAATCCGTTTGAAGTTTCTCCGACTGGAGAATGGATTGACGTTGCTACAAAATTATTCAGACTTCCAAAATCTTCACTTCAAATGGAAATTATTGATTTGCAAGAAGATATCTCATTGCAAATGAATAAGACTTCGTCTACTGAAGATTTTTGGATAAAACATGTCTTGGATAAATACATGAACTGTAAAACCCTTGCCATAAAATTAACTACTATGTTTGGCTCCACTTATGTATGTGAAACTTCGNTTTCAAATATGACGTTTTTAAAAAACCAATACTGTTCAAGATTAACAGATCACCACCTTGAAAACACTTTACGCATCAGTTGTTCTCCAAGAGTACCAGATTTTAAAAAAGTAGCTCAAGAAAAGAAATGTCATTTTTCTCATTAAATTTTGTTATTATTAGTATGAATGTATTATTACTTTATAAATAATTAAATATTAAATACTGTGTCTTAAAATGTGTTTTTAACACAAAAATAAATACATTAATGATAAAATTATGTTTAAGATTTTTTTTGGCCCTCGACATTTTTTTTTTTAAATATCTGGCCCGCCATATAAATTAATTGCTGACCCCTGGGTTAGAGCTTCGATTCTTTGAACGGAGGTGTGCGCGTAAACCGTAATTCACCGTATACATTCAATAAATGTGTTATATCTATCGAAGGGACTGATTAAAGAAAAGCAAATATTCCGGAATATATTATCGCAAGCGACAAACGCACATGGGCGTTTTAGGCCCGGGTATGAACGGTGACGACGGAAAAGCCGCTCGGCGGAGTAGGGAAATCGCTCGTCACGCCGGACACGGTATTTAAGGACGGTCAACAGTCGGATTGCCGAAGCAACACGGAAAACGATCATCCAGTCCGGTAAGTTTATTGCGTATGTTGTATACCTACGCTGGAACGTTTCCTATGTTTATTCCGACTCCGATGCACATTTGCCCACCCGCAACGAGTATAACGTGCTTCCGGTAGTATTCACGAGTGTGTGCAATAAGCTGACTGCAGTGACATTCCATCGCCGTGCTATGTCAGTCTTTAGAAACCTGCACGTCCGCACTACCACCATGTACCTTATGATATACAGAATATAGATACGGCCGAGACGTTCAAATAACAACAATAACACGGAACACAATGGCGTATTTTCCATTCGGGGGTCGATTAGCGAAATTACTGTCGATTCGGATAAACTCTGTCCCCTATCATATTTTGATTTTTTTATCTTAAATAGAATCCAAGCATTCCGAAATATTGCGATGCGACGACTCTCCAATAACTCGCACGACAACCTTGCTATGAAAACTGCGATTGAAGAAACACGCGTCTACTACATAAACGCTTTTACAACCGTCTTTAAAGTCATCCTAATCCCATAGTCTAGGGTCTTTACGCCCTTACACTACGATGTAGTTATATAATGGGTATTATATATGGTTCAAGTGCGTATGATTGTATAAGTGTAGGCGTATGGGGTTGGTATATGTGTGTAGGAGATATAGCTATAGTGATGGGAAAATACCAGATATTTTTAAAATTTGGGTAAATTAGCGGAGTATTTGTGTACTGATTTATTTAAATAGATTTGCTTTATTAAAATAAATACCCGAACTCGGTATTTCGGGTATTTATTTTTTACTTTATTATGAACTATTCAAATGGATCTTTGGATATTTTGAAAAAAAAAAATAAAAATAACACGTTTTCCACTGTTTTAATTAAAATAATTCATACGAGTTTTGTACCGTAAAGTCACAACAGGAGATTTCACATCAGCAGGGTCGGTTTAGTTTTTGTATCACTTTCACTACATAATGTAAAAGGTACTTACTCATTAGTAGTGATTAGTAATCCAATATCATTAACCATCACAACACAACAATACCGTTTACAAGTATTGATAATTATTAAACCACGCGTCGATTTGAACCGGCAATCGGTTGCCGTGTTAAAATAAAAATTAAACGGCCAAATTTTCGGTAAGATATGATGCACAGGTATTGACCGAAAAACAAATAACTTCCTGTCGGATGCTTGCCCGGCGTCCGTCTCAATAAGGTGTACTCGTTATACCGTCTTAGCCGGATGGTTTCCGAAATGACCGGGAAGCGATTGGAGTAATGATAAACGTTTGACCCGCGAGATTTCGGGGACGGGCCAGTTAATGTGCACCGGCAATTATTTTGACACTTGCGTGCGCAAATGTAAATGAGAAACGGGGAAAAAAACCCCGGAGCAAATGAAAGTATCGACGCGCTAATGAAAGACATTAGAAACATGTCTTTGCGCTGTGATACGCGCGCGCCGCACTCGTTCATAACGAGCTGCGCGTGTGCACGTGAAAAATACAAATAAATGTTTAATGAGATAACATTTCGGTCGGTGGTGGCGGCGAGTGTCGTCACAAGAAACCACGAAAAGCCGTGTTGATTAACGTTGACCGCATCGCGGATAACTCCCGCAGCACTAGACACTCGAGCCTATAAATCACCAGTTTTTTTTTTTTTTTTCAGAGCTGAAAAGTATAATTGGTACAAAACCGACGAGATTAAAACGCGGAGATATTATTTAGTATATTTTTTTTTTTTTTTTTTTTAATAAAACGCATCAAACATAGTTTTCATTAATCTTTACGGGCAATCTAAATACCGCGGATTCCTTGTAGCCTACATACGAGTATACAGCCGCGCGGGTACCAGCTCCGAACGGATATACGCTATAATTAAGATGACAATAATATTTTACGATTGCGCGGATCCTCTTCGGTGCTTACCGCTCATCTATTATCAGTATGAAATTACGATAATAGTAAAATTCGTATAATAAAATTTCAATTTACCACTTTTATCACTATTATGATAACTGTGTAAAATACAGTAGTCGCGTAAATTACTCGTTTGTATACGAGCATTCTCGGAGTAGTGAAGACTGCAAGGTTTACTACGATGCGTACTGTTTATTATTTTTTTCGTTTGTACACAATTTCTTTTGCTAGAAACCTTGCACCGGTGTAATAGCTTTTCTGAAAGGAAATTCTATCTCCGTGGAAGCCATTTTTTGATTTTCCAAGTGGATTTTATAATAATTGGGAAAAATCGGGAACAAAACGTAGGAAAGCGGGAAAATCTACGTAATGTATTATTTTCGATTTTGTTTTTTGTTGTTATCTGAAACTTAAAAATATTCTTGACATAAAACTTATATTTACTTTTTCTAGACGTGGTAAAATGTTCAAAAGGTTTGTGCCATTTTTGAGCTATTTATAGACACTTTAATTTTGCGAGTATTCACATAATTTTTGTTCGGTAGGTCTTCTGTGAATAATGTGTGTATTTTTTTATAAAACTGTGAACAATATTTTTATCGGAATCACTCCGATTTTCAATTGTGCACTTCTTCTGGAAACAATTTTTATCTAGTTGGAGAATGAAAAGGTCATTTTTTAAATTTTAGTTGCGGTTTTCTTAATAAATGTAGAAAAATCACAGTAAAATCGTGAGAGATTACGGCAATAGCGGTTTCATTATTTTCGATTTTGTTTTTTATTGTAATTCACTTACAAATATTTTCGTAGACATTTGTGCAGATTAATTAGATTAGCCTTTATTACAAAACGTGGTTTTCATTTTTTAATTTTATGTGGATGAAATTGTTCTGGTCGAATGAAAATTCTTAAACATTTTACTTGAGGTTTATGATAATTTGTACTAATAGTGACGCTCTCATTCAAAAAAAAAAAAAAAACAAACAAACACCGAATGTAATGTACTAATTTATTTTTATAAACATTTTAAGTACACATTTCGACGAAAATCATACAAATTACAGGCTTTGCCCCCTCACCCCCTTTTCACAACACCATTCATACAATCATCATACCAACTTATTAATCTATAATTATTAATAATTTAATTCCCGTTAGGTCCCGTTGCAAGATTTTCCAAATCGGAATTCCTCAAATCAGTTTGATTAACTATAACATATTTTTCTTGAATTTCAATGCCAGGGTCATCAATAACCTCAGAATTCAACTAAAAAATTGTAAAGACATAACAAAAATCAAAATTAACATTAAGATGATTTCTTTCTTTATTTAATAAATATCAAAATTTATTTCTAGGTGTTTTATCATTGTTAATATTTTTTGACTTCGTTTGAAAATTGAAATATTTTTATTGTTTTCCATAATAAGCTTTAAAAGCAATAACAACTTGGTGACTCGAGTGGTCAGAATGTCATTCAATTTAGTCGCACAGGCATGACGATTCAGACAATTGATTATTGAATATGGGCTAACAGCGCGACCTGTGTGTTGTCGCAGAAAAAATGCAATCGCAATGGTCACTTCGGATCGACAATTGATTACGGCCCTAGCAATTAGCATAATAATGTATTGTTTGCCGTCACGTCGGATACGATTTTGATCAGATCTAAAGCGCATTTGAGAGAGTCGGACGCGAATTGTTGGTGACCACAAAATCATAGATATTGAACACAAAATTCCCAGAAACTGGGATAAATCCGAATTTCGTTCAATACAGGCGAACTGTAAACGATGTAATTTCGGATTTTTGAATTTATATTCCGAAAATTTTGATTACAGATTTCGAAATTAGATTTTTTTTATATTTTTCCTTTTTCAATCCACTACGCGCGTCTTTGTATTTGACCCTTGGCCGTACGATCGTGGCCGTATTGTAAAATAACGGTGTTGCGCAATTGTATTATGTATGCGCGTAGTAAATAAACACGGTAAAGGGCCGATGTGGGGGGGGAGGTGTTATTACACCGCCGACACCCCCTGACACCTCGCCACGCCGCAGGTACAGACTGTGTCGCGGCAGAGTGTACCGGCGTCCGTAGTGCTCGTCTATCAAGTATTTGTCCGGCATTTGTACGGAAACAATTGAGTCTGCGCGTATCGACCGTCAAGTTTAACATACTAGACGGTTATGAGTTTTCCGACTTTGCGGACACCGAAAATCCGCGACTGTCGGGAACGCGGGCGAGTCCCCGCGCATTTCGTCCGCGCCGCTACCGAGGTGCCGCGCCCGAACGCGTTCCCACACGCCAACGGGGGCCCCGCCCGAAATTTCGTCTCGGGGTCTTTCGACGAATTCCGCGCCGACGGCCGGCAAACGGTCTGGCCCACCGCCGGTCCCCCGTCGACCGCGCGCCGTGCGTCGCGGCGTCTCGTCCTGTGCCGTCGCCCGGAGCCGCCGCGCGGTCGAAAAGCGAAAACCGCGCCGGTACAATCGGCCGCTGTCCCGCGCCCGTACAAACGCAATAAATTACGTATTATTTTACGTACATTATACGGCTGCGGCGGCTGCGGCGGCTGCGCAATCTCGAAACCCCATCTCGGCGAAAAAAAAAAAAAAA